CGTGGAAATCGGACTGTGAAAATGCGTGGCCACGCTATAGATGAATGTACATCTATTTTATCAGTCGGTTTGCCTAGACGAGTAAGCGGTTGAACTTGAAGGGTGGCTCATACCATGCCCTTGTTCAACATACGACATCGTGAGACAAAGGATCAGAACTCGAACTATTTCTGGCTTTGTTAGATCACCTCTAACTCTATTCTAGGTGGGTGGTCATGGCGTCTTGCTAGAGGCTAACCATGACTTGTGGTTCGGGAAAGGGTTTTCGAAGGCACTACCACTTCGAATGGGCCTACAGAGTCACACACCATTAGGGATGGATCACATGTGAAGAGAACGACGCGAGAAAGGAACCATGGAACGAGCTGGAAGTGTTCCAGACGGCCAGACCGTCCGGTCCAGGCCTGGACCGGACGGTCCAGCCATGTTAGTCCGTCCGTTCCGCTGAAGAACGGACTGATCGTTCCGCAAGCACCAGACCGTCCGGTCCAGACGTACAGACCGTCCATTCTATGAGTAGTTATGGACCGTCCGTTCTGCGTTGAAAGCCAGACCGTCCGGTCCAAGACCTAGACCGGACGGTCCGACTTTCGGGCAGATTTCCTATTTCGCGTTTTAAGGGTTTTGGGCAATCCTAATTAATGAGAGAACCGCCACAAACCCTAGAGAATGAACCTCAGACGTCCAAGACACTCATTAGAGCTTAGAGAAGCTTGATTTTGAGTTGTAGTGATTGGAATATCGATTCCAAGTCAAGGACATCGTTTTCTCTTCACAAATCCTAGCAGATACGTTCCAAACTGTTGGAATTCATCCCCCCGGTGTGGGTACGTGTAGAGGAGTTGTGCTTTCAACTCTTGATGATTAAAACAGGTCCTGGATCGATTGTTCTTCCAGATCTTGAAAGAACGAGGTAAGTATTCGAATCCCACGACGATATACACGATTGTTCGGGTTATTGCACAACTGGTTTTGTGTGACATTTGGCTAGGTTTAGATCTTTCTTTCCGCTGCGTGAAACCTAGAATCCAA